TGCCAACTTGGGCCAGTGAAGCAACGTCCTCCACAGCTAGACTGAAGAACAAAAAGGACAGCAACTTGTCTGTTCCCCTCCCCCCAATTCCCCAGCGCTGTTCCCATCCCCCAATTCCCCAATAAAAATCTTAAAAAAAGAAAAAAAGGAGAGGAGAAAGCGGCCAGAAAGCAAGATAGAAAAAAAAAAAAAAAGGAGCTAAGAGTATGGAGAGACAGAGGAGAGAATGCTGGGAGATGGGGGGTGGGAGTGCGGGGGAGAGAGAAACGGGAGGGAATGAGAAAGGGAGGCAGAGAAAGGAGAGGAGAGAGGGGAACGGGGGAGGAAGAGGATGCTGAGGGTGTCAGAGGGGGCGAGGGAAGGAGGGGGGAAGAGAAGCCAGGCCGAGGAGGAAGGGGAGTGTGAGGGAGGAGAGAGTCAGAGACAGAGGGGAGTAAAGAGGGCGCGGTGGGCGGAGAGGAGAGGAGAGGAGGTGGGCAAGAAGTGAAGGTGTGAGGGGGAGAGACCAGAGGCGAAGAAAAAGGATGGAGAGGAGAGAGCAAAAAGGAAAAGATGGGAAGAGTGTGTGTGTACAGTAAGGAGAACAGGTGTGGAAGACGGGTATGGAGCGAGGGAGAGAGGTCCAGGGTACAGGGAGGCATGGAAACACGTGGGAAGAGAGGACCTTCCAGGGCCATACAAACGCACGCGTGCACACCCAGAGGCAGTGTGTGATGGAAGGAAGGTGGGGGCGGGGAGACCATGTGAGGAATCAGAGGGCCTGAGAAAGTGGACCGTGAGGCAGGAATACGAAGCAGCCTGAAGGGGGGGACAGGGGGGTGGGCTGCTCAGGTCGCAGATGCCTCACTCTCCTTGACCTGTGGCAACCACCCTGTGGGTATTTTTGTGACCAAGGGAGAGAAAAGAGTGACAACCGGGAAAACAAAGAGATTGTACAAAGCCAAAGGTGTGACAGAAAAAGCTGGTGAATAAAGGGGGAAGGGAAGGAACGGGGCTGGGAAAAAAGAAGGGGAGAGACAGAGACAGAGGGGACAGAGAGAGAG